TTACATATTGTTCTAACCCATTTCTAATATTCTGTGTAGCCCACGAGCTGGCTTACCAGGGAGGATCTTAACCTGCGTCTGTCTGGAGTGGGAGCATCATGGCGACTCTTCCTCTAACCTTCTTTCTCCCAGAATTCTCTTCTGTATACTCCGCCTACCTAATTTTCTATCCAATAAAATGGGCCAAGGCAGTTTCTTTATTAGTAAGAAATCATTCCCACATCACACAATAAAGACAGATTCAGAAAAAAACCTTTAAATGGGTCACATTGTATTTAGTAAATGTACATAGGCTTGAGAGAGAGGGGGGAAAAGGATAGAGACAGTCATAGATTAAAAAAATCTAAAGATAATAAAATAAAGTCCCTTAAAATAGAGTAATAAAAATTATAATAAGCCACATAAACATGGAAAATACACAGAGTCTGGATTATGTAAACTATTGCGTTTTCTTTGAAATTTTTGACTGCTAATGAGCTACTACAGAGAGACATTTGATTCTGGGAGCTGGTAAGCTAAACCAACATACAGGTATCTTGACTTCAAAATTTGGGTCTAAGGATATGTTGCTTTGGAAAAGAGGTTCTGCTTTTGTTTCCAAAGAAAATGGGAAGTTATAGATTCCCTCCAGGCTAATAAGGTGTGATCAAGTAAGAACCCCTGAGAGGTCTCCAATGTGAGCAATGGCCCAGGTGATCCAACATCCAGAACAGTTTCCAGGCTACTGGCTGAGGCTATGCATCCTCACCGATTACTACAGCTATGATTTCAATATAATTCTAAATTTACCAGTGCCCCTAATCAGCGGGCAGTAGTATAGAAAACTATGCCCAAATTCCCAAAATATTGGTTATAAACATTTGTTTTCATTTAAAGGGGTTGGTTATATATGGTTAATGGTCATAATCAAGAGAAAAAAATCTAAAAAAAGAGGGGTTGGGCAATGGTGGCCTGGCCTTTAATCCCAGCACTCAGGAAGCAGAGGTAGGTGGATCTCTGTGAGTTTGAGGCTAGTTTGATCTATAGAGCTAGTTCCATGACAGCTAGGGATGTTACACAGAAGAACTCTGTCTTGAAAAGCCTAAAAAAAAGAAAAAAGAAAAATAAAAAAGGGGGATATGATATAGAAATGGTAAAAGGTAGATTCCCCCCCCCCCCCAAGACAGGGTTTCTCTGTGTAACAGCCCTAGCTGTCCTGGAACTAGCTCTTGTAGACCAGGCTGGCTTCGAACTCACAGAGATCCACCTGCCTCTGCCTCCCGAGTGCTGGGATTAAAGACGTGTGCCACCACCACCCGGCTAGATTATTAAATCTACTCTAATCCAAGAAATAACTGTTAGTCTCAAAATACTTTACACTGGTATGGATTTTGGCTTATTGATACAAATTTAAGGTCAATTTTGTTTGTTTTTTTCAATACAGGGTTTCTCTGTAGCTTTGGAGTCTGTCATGGAACTAGCTCTTGTAGACCAGACTAGCCTCAAACTCACAAAGATTTGCCTGATATATGTGTTTTTCTACTCTTGTTTAAGGTATTGAAAGACCCCCAGTGCTGGGGAGACTCTCACTCAAGTCTCAGGATAACACAACCCCCCCTCCCCCAGTAACTCACTAGAGACCGTCCTTGCTGCAATCACAGGAGGCTTTAATGATGAGATGAGATGGGAACCAGTGCACTGGGGAAAGAGTTCGACCCTGAGTGACCTGGAGAAGGGGTTTTTAAGGACGTCACAGAAAGTCACAAGGGGACAACACCCTGCCTCAAGATCACTCAAGGTCATAATCAGCTAGTTCCTAAAATCACAAGGGGGAAATTCCCTATTTCTCAAGATTACAATCTAACTTTATCTTCAGCTAGTTCCTGAAACACAGTCACTGAACTGGCTAATCCTAGATTTTTGATTCTTCTCTTCCTGCTTGGATTTTTGGCTATTTTCTTCCTGCTGGGGAGGTCTGGATTTATCCAGGTCTTTCAGTATTATGTTTAAGCAGCTCATTAAAAATGTAATGTATATTTAAGAAATACAAATTAATAGTCATCTATAATAGTCAAACTTACAGTCATGTTAGTTAGGTTTTCTAGATATGCAGAGATATATTTCAAATAGATAAACAATTTTTTGAGACAGGGTTTCCTTGTGGCTTTGGAGCCTGTCCAGGCTGGTCTCGAACTCACAGAGATCTGCTTGCCTTTGCCTCCAGAGTGCTGGGATTAAAGGTGTGCACCACCATCGCCCGGCATAGATAAGCAATTTTCAAACACCCCAAAGACCTACAGAATACCATTATTTAAAACATTTTAAGAACTTAGGTGGGGCTGGAGAGATGGCTCAGTGGTTAAGAGCACTGACTGCTCTTCCAGAAGACCTGGGTTCAAGTCCTAGCACTCACATGGCAGCTCACAACTGTCTGTAACTCCAAGATCTGAAATCCTCACAGGGACATACATGTAGCAGCAGCAGCAGCAGCAGCAGCAGCAGCAGCAGCAGCAGCAGCAGCAGCAGCAGCAGCAGCAGCAGCAAGAAGAAGAAGAAGAAGAAGAAGAAGAAGAAGAAGAAGAAGAAGAAGAAGAAGAACAACAACAACAACAACAACAACAACTACTTAGGCTTTTCTCGACAATGAGCAATGAGACACATCTGCTCCTGGCAGCACCAATTACTTCAAGGGGATGATGGGCATCAAAGAAGCATCTTTTTTTTGTTGTTGTTGTTGTTTTTGTTTTTTGTTTTTTTTTTGTTTTTTCGAGACAGGGTTTCTCTGTGGTTTTGGAGCCTGTTCTGGAACTAGCTCTTGTAGACCAGGCTGGTCTCTTAAAGAAGCATCTTATGGAGCTTTCTTTCTTTCCTTCTTTCTTTCTTTTCCCTTTTTTTTGTTTTGTTTTTTTGAGACAGGGTTTCTCTGTAGCTTTGGAGCCTATCCTGAAACTTACTCTGTAGACCAGGCTGGCCTCAAACTCAGAGATCCAACTGTCTCTGCCTCCCAAGTGCTAGAATTAAAGGTGTGTACCACCATATCCTGGCTTGGAGTTTGTTTTCAATGTGGCAAGGCTAGCCATTTGAGCAAGAAACTGCTCTTGCCTGGACTGCTTGACAATATGCTGTGTAAACTAGACATGCAGGACCCACAGGAACATGACTGCTGAACTTGCCAAAAGCAAGGCAGGACAGTCCTTCAGATTTCCTGCTTTACTGAGAAATCTGCCAGATACTCTAGGCCTACAGGCGGAAGATAGATACTCCAGTGTTACAGAAGAACTTTGGGTGACTGTCCAGACAACCAGATATAGTGATATTTTTATTTATTTATTTTTTTATTATTTATGTTTTAATAAATAAAGCTTGCCTAAAGATCTAGAGGTCAGGTAGAGGTGGCACACACTTTTAATCCCAGGATTTGGGAGACAGAGGCAGATGGATCTCTGTGATGTAAAGGCTACTCTGGGTTACACAAGATCAATGCTGAAACAAATCCAGATGGTGGTGGCTCACACTTTTCATTCTAGTACTAGGGAGTCACACCTTCAATCCCAGAACTAGAGGGAATATAAAATGGGAAGAGAAAGAGGTTCGGTCTGTTTAGTCTGCTTAGACTGCTTAATCTGGTTAGTCACCTAGTCTTGGTAGAGGTAAGACTTCTCTAGTGGCTGACTGCTTTGCTTTTCTGATTTCAAGTTGAACCCCAATTTCTGTCTCTGGCTAGCTCAAAACACTTTATCCAGATGTAGCACTTTTATCCAGATGTCAGCATACTGGCATGCTCCAGTACTTGGGAGGTTCAGACAGAAGGATGTGAGCTGCTGGCTCCCCCCATCCATATGGCGAGACCCTGCCTCAACCATCCCTCCCACCGAAACTCCCAAACAAATAAAAACAAAAGTTTTGTGAAGATACACCACAAAAACGACTCTAATATAAAGTTAGTGGGTTTTTTTAATTTTATTTATTTATTTACTTTTGGTCACGACCATTGCCCAGCCGTTGTCACTACTTACCATTTTCTTTTCGTGCATGCTAGGCAAAGGCTCTACAGCTGAGCTACCTCCTGCCAGGGACATGTTTATTACCAGGAAGAGAAAACCTGTATCCACTAACAGTCCTGCCAACCAGCCTGCAGGTTCCGATCTCACATCTTTACTTTAATGTTTATGCTAGGCAAGCACTTTCTTGGTGTGCTATGTCCCCAGCCCTTGGGTTTTGAATCAGGGTCTTACTAAGTAGGTAGGGCTGGCCTTTAACTCTAAATCTTCCTGCTTCTACCTCCTGAGTGCTGGGATTAAAGGTTTGAGCCATTGTCTAACTCAAGAGTGCTTCCTCTTCCTTTTGCCCCTACCCAGCCCCCATCTTCAGCTTCTTTTTCTTCAGTTTTATATCTGGTACTTGGGTTGGGTTATTGTGCCTTAGATGTCTCCATATATAAAATAGATACTACGCCCATGCCTATTGTCCTGAGGAATAGATAAATCATAGGCATAGAATATTACAGATTACATTCTGCGATTATCCAGACATTAGATATTACCTCCTGGCCTCAAACTCACTACGTAATTGAGAATGACCTTGAATGTCCGTGATCTGGATCCCACTACCTCCACCTCTGAAGTGCTGTGATTATAGGCTTGCACTGCTACACCTGGCTTTTATTTTTACTTCCTGCTATTTTAAATACTTAGGTATTGCTATGTTGACCAGGCCACCATTGAGCTTCTGGGTTTTAGCAATACTATGTGTCTATAATATTGTATAATGTGTATAGTGTGTCCACAGCCTTCTTAATAATTAAGCTACTAAGCCTGCTTTCCAGTTATATCTCCTTCCTCCCTCCCTCCCTCCCTCCCTCCCTCCCTCCTTTCCTTCCTTCTCTGTGTATTTTTGAAGCCTGTCCTGGAGTCCTGGAACTTACTCTGTAGATGAAGCTGGCCTCGAACTCAAAGAGATCGGCTTGCCTCTGCCTCTTTAGTGCTGGGATTAAAGGCTTGGACCACCACAGCCCGGCCTTTTGTTCATTCTTGAGACAGGGCCTTTGTAGCTCGGGCTCTCTTGGAATTTGCTATATCAACTAGGCTGACTTCAATCCGTCGTCTGCCCCTCCCCCCCCACCCCAGGTTTCTTTGTTTGGCTCTAACCGCCCTGAAACTTGCTCTGTGTAGTGATCTTTTGTTTGTGTTTTAACAAATAAAGCTTGGGGCTGGAGAGATGGCTCAGAGGTTAAGAGCACTGGCTGCTCTTACTAAGGTCCTGCGTTCAATTCCCAGCAACCACAAGGCAGCTCACAACCATTTGTAATGAGATCTGGTGACCTCTTCTGGCATGGAGGTGTACAACCAGGAGGAACATTGTGTATACAATGAATAAATTAAAAACAAAAACAAAAACAAATAAGCTTACTTGAAAATCAGAGTGTAGAGCTAAGACACTAGAGGCCAGGGAGTGGTGGTAAAGCTCTGTGAGTTCAAGGCCACCGTGGGCTACTTGAGAGTGAGTCTGTAGAACTCTCACAAAGGGGATCTCGTCTTCTAATCCCAGCACTAGGGAGGTGGAGATGTAAGGAGGAGAGAGGAACACAGTGCAGTCCGAGGTTTGGTGAAGACCCGTGCATTCTAACCTTCTCATGAGCTACAAGTGCTCTTAACTGCTGAGCAGAACCTCCAGCCTCTACACTGCTTGCTTGAGGGTCAGTAAACCGACACATAGTCGTGAGTAGACTGATTCTACCTAGAATAGACAAAACAAGGAGGTAGATTTTTTTCATTGATTTGTTGTTGTTTGTTTAGTTTCGAGACAGGCTTTCTCGTCTTGGAGCTTGCTTTGTAGAGCAGGCTGGCCTTGAACACACAGATTTGCCTGCGTCTGCCTCCCAGTGTTGGTATTAAAGATGTGTGAGCTTTAGGGGAGGCTAAACATTTAAGATGGCTGTTCTTAGAAAGCACTGAATCTTTGAGAAAGTCTAAGAACGGGCCTTTTTCCGGACACGGTGAGTGCCAAGACAGTCAAGGCTACCTAGAGACCACCTAAAAAACCCACAACAAACCCAAACAGGAGTTTTATTTTGGGTGCAGGAGTTTTAGTCTTGGATAGCAGTGGTTCGCGTGAGAAATACCAGGAATAGGACTGTGAAGCCCGGTCTGGGCTTCGTGGTGAGGACAGCCTAAGGCTACAAAGTGAGACCAGTCTGGGCTTCGTGGTGAGGACAGCCTAAGGCAACATGGTGAGGGCCAACCTAGGCTACGAGGTGAGTGAGACCAGCCTAAGGCTACGCAGCAAGACCTCCCAAATTACTGGCCTAATTACAAGTCCGTGCACGTGCACCGCACACGAAGATCCCAGCGGGCGACCTCAGGCCCTGAGGGCACGGCGCGCGCCACGCAGCGGGCACCCGTGGCGGGAGCGCGCGCCGGCCCGGAGAGGCGCACACAGGAAGCAGGGACGCGAGCAGCGCAGGACGCGCTGACGACCACGCCGGACGTGGTGACGTAGTGCGCAGGCCGCAGCGGGGGGCGGACTCCGGGCCTTTCTTCCCCTTCTGCTTCTCCCCCTCCCCCCTTTTCTCCCTCTCCGGGTTTGGGCCCCCTTCTTTTCCCCTCTCCCCCCTCCTTCCCGAGCCCCTTTCCCCTCCCCCGCCCCGCTCCCCTGCCTCCCCGCCCGGGCCCCGGGGAGACCCCCCCCCTCCGAGAAGAGCCCGCCCCCAGAAGCGCGCCGCCGCTGCCGGCCGTCGGGGCCGAGCCGCAGCCGAGCGGCCGTGGGCCCGGGCGGCGGGCGGAGACCGGGCGCCCTCCCCGCTCTGGCCCCCGTGAGGTGAGGCCACCTCCGGCCGGGGGGCGGGCGGCGCGCGGGCAGGGGGCGTGGCGGGCGGCGGGCGGGCTGGCCGGGGGTGGCGGGGCCGGGCCGCAGCCTCCGGGAAGGGTCGGCCCGCGCAAGCCGGCGAGCGCGCGGAGCGGGGGCCGCGGGGCTCCGGGGAGGGGGCGGTGCCACCTGTGGCCTGGGCCGAGGGCCGGGGAGCGCGGCGCCCTTGGCAGCGCCGGAGGGCAACGAGTTTCTGGGGGTGTCCGCTCGCCTCGGAGCCTCCCACAGAAGGGGACCTAGAGGTGTTGGAGTTTGTCACTGGACGCAGCTTGGAGTTGGCACGTGGCTGGAAGATGTCCTGCATCTTGAAGAAGTTGGGCCTGTGCTGAGCTCCCAACTCATGCTTTCTTGTGGGGCTAAGCAGTTTTCGACGTTTGTCACCATGAGCCGAGTAGCCGATTTACGCGAAGTGAATTGTTTTGCATAATTATGACTTACTGAATCTCAGTCACCCCCCTCCCCCCCCCAAAAAAGAACTACACTAAAACCGGAGAGAGAGAAGTGGGAAAATTTAAAATTAAGATCCTAGTTGAAGGAGTGGCCTTGTACGACCCCCGCCCCAAAGCACTTGAGTCAGTCCTAGCTGAGGTTTGTAGGCAGCCTGAAGGTTGGGGAATGTGACATGTACCACTTAACAGCACACATTCCTAGCATTTTATTGTATTTTTAGATAGTTAAATTGACATGTCAGTCATATGTGGCGCCTTTTCCAAATGCGTTTTTCCTTACTTCATTCAGTAAAGCCCCACCCCACAGGACTGGGCATCGGGATAAAGGTTGAAGTCCATGTGACGGGCCCGAGTTATGCTATTTCGCTTCTCTTGCTAGATGTATTTCTCGTCACCAGTAGCTGTTTTCCACTGTGGTCTCTAGAACAGAGAACCTTAGTAGAAGGGCTGATGAAATGTCTGCAGAAGTTACTTTAGGAGTTGAAATTCCAGCAGGGCAGAGGCAGGAGGATGCTTGAGTTCAAGGCCAGCCTGCTCTACAAAGCCAGTTCTAGAACAGCCAGGACTGCACACGCAGTTGCGATTCGAGTTGTTTTGTGTGTGCACTAGATGATCTACAGAGCTTCACAGCTTAAAATTTTAAATTGATTAGATAAAGCCAGCTGTGATGACACAGACCTGTAATCATCCATTTGGAAACTGAAGACTGGAAGATCAAGAGTTCAGAATTAGCCTAGTCTACATAAAGAGTTTAGGTCAGCCTGGGGTTCATGAAACCCTGTGTGAATAAACAGACCAAATCAAAAATAAGGCAAAACTTTGCCCAATTAAAGCTGGTAGAAGTGGGATAGACCTGTAATCTCAGCAACAGGAATCCTGAGTTTGAGGCCAACCAGGAGTATAGGATTGAGTTCTAACCTAGCCTTGGTTCTGTCTCAAATAACAAATCAGCAGCATTAAAAATAAGTAAATGTGATAAAAACAATGTGCCGTGGGCTCAGATTTTGGCTGCTTTGGTGGAGTGCTTGCCTAGCATGCACAAGGCCCTGGGCATCACTCCTCAGCATTGTGTAAAATCAGGAGGATATGGTGTGCTCTCCTGTGGTACCTGCACTCTGGAGGTGGAGGCAGGAGGATTAGAAGTTTAGGATCGTCCTCCACCACATAATACAGTTTGAGTACCCTGTCTAATTTTATTTTAAATGGAAAGGCATCTGAAGAGGGATGGCTTCCTGTAGGCTTTGTTTACTAGTTTTGAGACTAGCCCAAGGTGGTCTCAGACTCTCAGCAGTCTTCCTGTTTCAGCCTCGTGAGCACTGGGATTACATGTGTGCACCATGCAAACCATTTTAACAGGGCACTGTTAAAACCTTTCTCTCTGCCTCTGACAGTAGATCTTCAGCCACAGTCTCCCGTAGCTTACACACTTATCTCCTGGTTATTGGTAGATCACTCTAGCACACTTGTACCCGGACATTCCGCACTTGTTTTGTGTTCTTGGCTCATCTTTCCCTTATGAAACTGCATTGCCTGTCCTCAAGGGACCCTAACGGGGATATTTCCTTAGCTATCTGAATTGCAAAGGATTTGTGTGACTCTTGCTTGTTGCCTGGTTACTTTCTGTACGTTTTAGTCTTTCCTATTAAAAAACTGCTGGGAGGAAAGATTGTCTTTTCTTCTGTGAATCGCTCTGTCCTCCTCACTTCTGCAATTGGACGTGTAGTCAGTGCTCGACAGACTGTTTATTGACTGACTAGGTAAGGGGGCTTCATTGTGCCCAATGTGCCCTGGAACTCCTAGACTCTATTGATCACCCAGTTTCAGCCTCCCAAACTGCTGGGGCAAGGACCACTCTAACCTGGCTGTATTCTTGAGCTCTTTCTTTGTGGTGAATTTCTGGAATTTTGTAAGATATTCATTGGACGATAATATTTTTCCCCTGTCACCTCTTGGGATATTTTCTGTTTAGCAGAGAACAGAAGGGGTTGTGAGATCTTTTGTGTGGCCTGTCTCTGCCTCTGAAGTTCTGGGCTGGGATCAGAGGCCTGCGCCACCACTTCCAGGCCGCTTCATTATTGCTTTTGCTTCTTCACCTTCTCTGAGCTGGCAGGAGTGGCCTGGGTGAGATTGTCTCTGGGGTATCCAAGGCAAAGAGTGAGGTGGAGTTTTAAAAGCACTTTGTAGGAACGTGATAGCAAAGGTTTTTGGTTTAAATATGTGCCAGGGTTTAGCCGGGTGATGGTAGGACACTTCTTTAATCCCAGCACTTGGGAGGCAGAGGCAGGCAGAGCTCTGTGAGTTCAGGGCCAGCCTGGTCTACAGAGAGTTCCAGGACAGCCAGAACCAAACCCTGTCTTAATAAAACAAAAAACAAAACAAGCAAAAAAAAAAAAAAACAAAACAAATATTTGCCAGAACATTGAAAGCTGGGATGTCTGTGAGAGAGCAACTTGTTTGAGGAGAAAGAACGGGGATGGAGTAAGCATTTGACTAGATCTGGTTCTAATGTTAATGTACAAGTAACAGAAGTGTGCCAGGTAAAAGATCTACTGGCATATGTCTAGACAATCTGGAGTTCAGAGTTCTCTTTACTTAGTGGGTTCCAGTCCAGCATGGGCTACCTGAGGTGTGCCTGTCTGGGTATGTACACCTGAGTGGAGCCCGGAGGCGTCAGATCTCCCTGAAATTGGGACTATCGGTAGTTGTGAGCTCCCTACTGTGGGTGCTGGGGGAACTCAGGTCTTTGTAAGGTCAGTGCTTGCTCTTAACCACCTAGGCATCTCTTCGGGCCCCACCCTGTTTTGTTTTTGTTGTTTTGAGAAGGTCTCACTGCACAGCCCAGGCCGACCTGGGAAGAGCATCTCACAAAGGTCCTCCTTCTCCAGCTCCCTTGGTGCTAGGATAATAGGTACCAACCACCACCCTGGCCTATTAGTCATTTTGTTTTATAAATAATTTTTAATAACTTAAACAAATGGGTAACAGTGTCTTTCAAACTTCTATTAAGTTTTTCTCCAGCTCCAGAGACACGTAAACATTTCTCTGTCATAGCTAAATAGGTGCTCACAATGCTTGTGTGCAGGGAGTTTCTGAATGAGCGTGCTCCTTACTGTGCCAGCTTGCTTCATGAATGCATACATTTTCAGGAAAAGGAGGAGTTAAAAAATACTTTTAAACGTGTGTGTGTGTGTGTGTGTGTGTGTGTGTGCATACAAAGAGAGGATAAATATGAACCTGGGCACATTTGCCAAGGTGTGTGTGTGGACATTAGAGAACAGCTTTCTGTGTAGTGGGTTCTCTCCACCTTAACATGGGTTCCAGGGATTGATCAGTCTCTCTCTTTCTCTCTCTTTTTCTTTTTCAAGACGGTTTCTCTATGGATCAGGCTGGCCTCGAACTCACAGAGATCCACTTGTCTCTGCCTCCCTAGTAATGGGATTAAAGGCCTCTGCCACCACTGCCTGGTTGAAAGATTCAATTTTGTGTAACCCAGGGTGGCCTTGAACTAACAGAGATCTGTCTGTCTCTGTCTTCTGAGTGCTGGGATTAAAAGTGTGTGCCACCATTGCTTAGCCTCTAGTGCCTTAGTTCTGCACTCTGATCTTCAGGTAAGATTTATTTGTTAAAACATAAACAAAATATCCCTACAGAGAATTTTGTAGAATTATCTGATTTTTCTTTTAAGATTTTATTTATTTATTTATTTATTTTTTAGTTTTTTGAGACAGCATTTTCTGTAGCTTTGGAGCCTGTCCTGGCACTAGCTCTTGTAGACCAGGCTGGCCTCGAACTCACAGAGATCCACCTGCCTCTGCCTCCTGAGTGCTGGGATTAAAGGCGTGTGCCACCACCACCGGAAAGATTTTATTTTCTTGATACAGTTCTCTACTATGTAGCCCTGGCTAACTTGATACTTTGTAGTCTAGGCTGGCCTGGAACTCACAGAGATCTGCCTGCCTGCCTTTGCCTCCTGAATGCTGAAATTAAAGCCATGCACCACCACTCCCAGCCAAAGATTTATTTTATTTCAAAATTATGTATATGCGTGCTTGTATTTATGTACCATTTTATGCCCTGTGGAGGCCAGGAGAGGGCATCCTATACCCTGGAACTGGAATTGCTTGTGGTTGTGAGCTACCAAATATGGGTGCTGGGAACTCAAGTGTCATCAGGCCTGTTGGCAAGGCCCTTACCCTTTGGTTAGTGAGCTTTTCTGTGCTGCTTTTCAGAGATGAGTTAAGAAGGCAGCCATGAGGGCAGCTGCCCTTCTAGTACTCAGAAGGAAGAGCAGGAGGATGAGTAAGTCTGAAGCTGCCCTGGACTACAGTGTTGAGTCCCTGTCTCAGAAAATCAGAGAGAAAGGAGAGTGAGTCCAAGGGACTTTGTCCTTCCATGGAATGTGTCACCACCTCAAGCAGGAATTGTAGCCAGACTCACAGCTTCAAGATGTGTACATGAATCCAGTTGGTGAATCTAATTTTAGACCTTCATAGCCAGTGGCCTGAGTATTTTCCTTGAGCTATATCCTTCTCACCCTCAGTAGAAAACACTCCACTCGATGGCCTGTCTGGCTGCTGCTTTAGCAGTGTAGCATTCTACCTCGCCATTCCAGGTACTCTCTTCAGTCCTTTTATTAGATGCGACTTATTTTTATAATTCAGCACATTTTAGAAATTACTTTTTATTTAATGTGTATTGGTGTTTTGCCTGAATGTTTGCCTGTGTGAAGGTGTCAGGTCTTGGAGTTACAGACAGTTGTGAGCTGCCATGTGGATGTTGGGAATTGAACCTGGGTCCTCTGGAAGAGCTGAGCCATCCAACTCCTGTAACTCCTATGTGATTTTATTTTATTTTT